TGCGTTATAAATAAAATTCATCATTATTATTAAGGTTAATTTTTTGAAGTAGACTGGTTTCAATCCAACTCAACAACCAAGTCATTGATGTAAAAGTCTGAGGCAAGTCAAAAGCGTGTGATCATTTCTTCAAGTCAACTCTAAAGCTATAAAATGAATGACTTGAGTCCAAGTCATGTGACTCCACTCCCTACCTTCGTTATACCAAGTATTGGTCCCATGGGTCCAGATCTCTTTATTCTATGTGTTTTTTCTGCCTGCAGCTTTTGGTAAATAGCCTCATCTGTGCCATTTACCAAAACAAAGGGAAGAGAAATCATACAAAGTTCAGAGAGGATAACCCTTCACATAAAATCACCACTTCATTCCTTAATCTTTTATGAAAGCAGAGATTAAAATAAGTTAGTTCCATCTGCCAGAGCTGATTTTAAAAGAACCAAGCCTGCAATAACGTCTGCTTGAAAGCCAGATTGTATTGATTATGTTGCCAGGTTCTGCTCTTACAGGGTATCTTATCCATGGACACAACACCAAATAACATCCAGCAGATGTCCGGTCCTCACGTCAGTGAGCTGTCTGAGCATGAATTTACTGCCGAGCTCCGATAGAAAGGCAGAATACTCAGCATGCCTTTCATAATAACTCAGCATCGGTGTGGATCATCATAAAACTGACTCTTAAAAGAGGGTGTAGCTCACAAACCCACAGCTACCAGCCAGAAATGTGTAAGTTTGGACCTTGATTGAATAACTCCAGAGGACAGGAGAAAAAACAAAAGCATTTGGACTCATTTGTCAAACTGTGTGAGGCAGCAACCAGGTGCTGTCTGAACGCAGAAGGCCCAGGAGCATCTGTGTGTGCGCTTTCAGCAAAGAGGAATGCCCTTCGTTCACGCCGTGCCATAATTAATGGCTGTCAGCAGCTCTTTAGTGGAAGGAGGCGATGACAGACAGCACTCCAGAAACGCGGGGAATGCGTGAACGCCTCACAGGGGTGGATGGGGGAGCAGAGGGTGCCTCCCAGCTGGTTGGAACAGGTCAGTGAAGCTCTGGCCCTCATCCGCTGCCATTTAAGAACATCTGTATAATTGTGAAAGGGGTGATCTTTATCTCTCAGCGTTACCATAACAACCACAAACTGCTGGTGACGGTTTTTGTTCAAAAAACCCATGAACCGAATAACTGGGAGCTGGTGGCTGAAGGGTCACCAAAACCGTCAATGTATCAATGTGTCTCAACTTAAAGTCGAAGGGAAATCATATTTAAACGTCAAATCATTCTTTATCAGACCATATTGTCCCGAAAGTTAGAAAATTTCTATTAAAAAAAAATCCTGTCTTTAAATCTGTGTTTTTTTTTTCCGTTATCTTCTGCAGGCCAGTTAGTTCTACGTCAGCCTGAACACCTAAATTCGGCCAATCATATATCAACGATCAACTGTCAATCAAATGTTTTCAGTCATAGCATCTTGATTCATATGTTGCAGCTAATATACGCAACGGTTGAAATCAGAATCCTTTCCTTTCCCATAGAGTTCCGTCCCAGTGTTCACGGGGATGGACGTCTGTGTCTTCAGCAGGCGTAGAGCTAACAGAACTGGCAGCGTTGCCACTCGGGAGAATTCAGAAATGCAACAATTGTAACAGCCGTTGGTTAAATTTAGAACTGGCCAATATATGTATAATTTAAAGAAAGAACATGTTCACATTCACAGATGACTTCAAAGGAGAGACTATATTTTTCAAGATAGTGAGAGGTTTAAAAAAACTAAACAAAACAAAAGATCAGCAGCGTTGTATTTAATGAGCATCCATCCACCTTTCGCATATCTCATCCAAAAAAGGTTATCCTGAGCTATCTCTATAGTTATGCTGCTATAGGCTTAGACTGCTGGAGGACATAGGGACCCCTTT